CTGCTGAAGCTTATATTCTAATAATTCAACTAGGATAAGAAAACGTTAAGTTATTTGTATTACAGAGAACTTGACTATATGTTATCAGTTACACACTGGATGAAATTGGGGGGGTTGAAGATCAGCTGTATTAAAGTGTTCTTGTCTGGAGAATTAATTTCTTTTCAAACATGATATGAATCATCAGAGATGCACATACATGCTACAGCTCTCCTGCTAGTGGACCAATCAAAGTGAGAAGAACATGAAAGCTGGGTGAGACTATGAGAGCTACTGTGATATACTGTAAGTAACCTGTTACTAATGGATTTTAAACCTCATTAAGCAAACCCATCCATTTACTAGCAAATGTATGTATAAAGAATTTCCTGAGAACCAACAAGGGTATTTTACTATCCTTAATGGGTTTTCTACACACGTACACTATTTTGCAAAGAGTCACCCTTCAGTTCTATTGCTTTGGGCTATTTTAGAGCTTCTCTTTGCTTTTCACAGATTTTTCTTAACTACTAATACTGGAAAGAAGAAGAATTCCTTCCTCAGCTAAAACTGTAGGAAATCTGAGTGCATTAGTAAAACCGAAGAATTGTACGGCATCTGCTGCTTTGCAAAACAATCTTTTTTTGCCTTTTATCTTCTAGGCAGAAAAGGAAAGAATTGACATAGAAGACCAGATAACAAGAACTTGGCATTTACTACCTTTCCTCCGAAGGTGGTGTTCTTGTTTGCTCCCATGATCTTCCACATTGGTAAGGGCTTCCTGTAACTGCTGTAGCTTCTCCTGGTTCTGAAGATGTGTCATGCGTAGCTGAGCTTGGAGGTCCTGTATTTCAGAGAGCAAGCTGTTCCGGTCTGAGGAGAAAAGGTGCTGTACAACCATCTGCCTCTGTTCCTCCTGAAAACAAACCAAGTCTTGTTAAATCTACAAGGCTATTCCCATATTTTCTACTAGAGAAACCCTTGCAGTACAAATTTTATATGGAGGCAACTTCAAATGACTAAGTTCATGCTTCATATTAATGCAAAATGTTAACATTATGTAAAAAAGAAAAATTCCACTTCACGAGATTCCAAATAGAGAAATAGTTATTAATAATAGTTTATACATCATGGTTATGACAAACCATCTGGTCTGAACCTAAAAACTAAATATCATGAGCAAAATATCACAAACAGACTCAGAGCTAGCTCAATATATACCCTTTGCAAAAGAAGTCTGTGAAGCTCTAGATGGAATTCTTCCCCTCCTTCACATTTTTATCAAATAATTCCTTTTCACTACCACAATCTCCAGGTCACTACTTTTTTCTGGATGCCAGCTAAGATAATCAATAGGCTTTGTCACACAATATACAAAGTTTGAGGAAAATGATATCAAAACAGAGACTATAAAAGCCTACTAATCGCACACAATCTGGATTAATGCACAAGTTAAGATTTAACAACCGAAGTAATAGAAGTGTAAAAACATTAAAAAATATGGGGCAATAGAAGAAGTGGTTTAAGACTGTAACACTTTAAGAAGTTTTCTTACTTGTTGTTTCATGATATACTCCAGTTTTTCCGCTAACAAACCTTCATCACCAGATCCAGTGTTGGAGAATTGAGACTTCAAGTCAATTTGCAACACATTTCTCTCCTTCTCAAACATCTTCTGTACTGCTTGCAGAAGCTCTCCTCTCCAGTCAGCAGCAATACTGGAATGTTCCTGTCAAAAAAAAATGTTTTTTAAATGGTATCTCTCTCATCTCTAACTCACTGTCTTTCATATCATTACTGTGTAAGAGTATACCTATCTGTTAATTTAAGCAGATCAAAGGCGTTCAAAGAGGCCTGTTCAAATCTCAGAAAGGAGACAGTCCCTTGCTCCTCATACACACAGGTAGATACATACATACACACACACACACATACTAATTATAACACTGACTTATGAGTGCTTGGGCAAGCCTGATCATTGTTTTTCATTAATCCATTGTTTGAACTTCTATGTAAAGTATATAGGTGTATATACCTTGTGAGATTTGGTTATAATAAGATAATTAGCATGACATTTTCTGCAAGACAATTCACAATTAAAATGTTTTTCATTTTTTTGATAGTCATATGGTTTAGTTTTAGGTAGTCCTGCGAGGAGCAGGGAGTTGGACTCGATGATCCTTATAGCTCCCTTCCAACTTGAGATATTCCATGATTCTATGATAATTACATAACAGTACACTTTTTATATATATATACACACATATATGTATGTATATATATATATATTCTTATATATATATAAAAACTGGTTTCCTTGCTTTAAAGGATATTTTTATTGTCATACCACATCTCCTCTATCTGTCACCTTGCTAAGGTAATCTTTCAGCGACTGTATAGCATCCAGCAAGGCTACACCCTCCTTCTGCCATCCCTCCATTGCTGCTCTGGTCTGATGAACACTTTTCAGCTCTCTAAAACCAAAGGGATGTTCTGACAAAGCCAATATTTTGTGGCTCTCCTCATATACCATCTTCAGCACAGTCTGAGAAGGAAAAAAAATAATGTGTAATATTAGGAAAAAGACATCAGCATCTTGACAGTGTAAGAGTAGGATGGGATAACACTAGACTACAAAAATAAGAAGGCTGTCTGAAGCTGTGATACAGATAAAGGCATGCAGGTCTGCTCTGCTACTCGGCATACTTAATAAACTAATAATACATATATACACACACGCATATAGAGTGAGCCAACAGTTACCAGAGCATTATCTCCTGACAACTGAGGAGATACTTACTGTATATCCTTACTGTATTTAAGAATACAGTAGCTACTGTATTCACAATATTAAAGCACAAATGGCAACCTCAGCCAGCACATCTTACTGCTGTGCACATCAACATGCTAATATGCAATTAGGCCAAAGGACTGTACTTTATCTTTGTTGTTTCTGAACTAGTTAGCCATCTTACTTGGGAAAAAATTTAATTCTATCAAGTCTGAAGCCACGTTACTAAACCCCAGTGATGTCAGAAAACCAAATCACACAGCTAGACAACTTTGGCTTAATTTAGCAGATTATGTACAAATAACGTTTCCCAAAATAATCAGTCTTAATAATTTACACAGTGGAAATTGTTTTCTCTGACATTGTCATGCAAAATAACATCTTTTAAATAAATTCCCTGTTCACAAACTATTACATCATGCACAGATGTTTCCTGGTCTCTTTTCAAGGGAGGTCACTGGAGATTTAAGTCCTTTTCTACATACATCTCATCAAAAATATCACAGCCTCAATGTGGAGCTGTTCCTCATTGCTACTCACTTTAACAACAATACAGAGTACTTTTAACTCTTGACATTCTTTCTTTGCACTTTTTTGAATGACTCAACTTTTGAACCAACTTGGGTTGCTTTTTTGTCACCAAAATCAAAATAGTCATTATTTCAAGAACCAATGCTAAATGATGAAAACCTTTAGTAAACATTAATAACAGAACCATATTAAAGTGTTCAAGCTAAACACTCCGTACTGGAATATGCACTCAGATCCTACAGCCAGTAAAGTCTAGAACAATGATCCACAAAGGAAACTAAATAAAAAAATTCTCTTCCTTAAGATAAAATAAAATTTCACCTCCTCCATAAAGTCTATGAACCTATGCTTTTTGAAAATTCTTGATGTTTTAGATCCAAACCATTCTATGATTTTGTGTTGGAAGGGACCTTTGAAGATTATCTAGTCCAAGCCCCTTGCCATGGGCCTAAGGACATCTTTCATTGTATCAGGTGGCTCAAAGCCTTGTCCAACCTAATTTTGAATACTGCCAGAGGTGGGACACCCACAGCTTCTCTTGGCAACATGTTCCAGTGTCTCACCACCCTCATTCAGTAAAGAATTTCTTTCTTATGTCCAACCTAAAACAACCCTCTTTCAGTTTAAAGCTCTTGCTCCTTCTCCTGTCACTCCTGGCCCTGGTAAAACGCCCCTCTCCATCTTACATGCCTCTTTCATGTATTAAAAGACTGCAATAAAGTCTCCTCAAACACTTTTCTTCTCCAGGCTGAACAATCCCAGCTCTCCCAGCCTGTCCTCCCAGCAGAGGTGTTCCATCACTCTGAGCATTTCTGTGGCCTCCTCTGGACCCTCTCCAACAGCTCCACGTCTCTCCTGTGCTGAGGGCACAAGAGCTGGATACAGCACTGCAGGGGGGTCTCCCCAGAGCAGAGCAGAGGCGCAGAATCCCCTTCCTCGCCCTGCTGGCCACGTTGCTTTGGTTGCAGCCCAGGACACAGTTGGCTGCCTGGGCTGCGAGCGCATGTTGCCAGCTCATGTCCAGCATTTCATCCCCCAGTACCCCCAAGTCCTTCTCAATCCCTTCATCCCCCAGCCTGTACTGATACTGGGAGTTTGCCCTGACCCAGGTGCAGGACCCTGCACTTGCCCTTTTTGAACATCATGAGGTTTACCCGGGCCCACTACTCCAACCTGTCCAGGTGCCTCTGGATGGCATCTCATCCCTCAAGGACAAGGGGTAATGCTTTTAAACTGAAAGAAGATAGATTCAGACTAGATATAAGGAAGAAATTTTTTATGATGGGGGTGGTGAAACATTGGAACAGGTTGCCCAGAGAGGTAGTAGATGCCCCATCCCTGGAAACATTCAAGGTCAGGGCTCTGGGCCACCTATGTAGTTGAAGATGTCTCTGCTCATTGCAAGAGGGTTGGACTAGATGACCTTTAAAGGTCCCTTCCAACCCAAACTATTCTATGATTCTAAGTGAATCAACTGCACCACTCAACTCGGTGTCATCCACAAACTTGCCAAGGGTGAATTCAGTCTCACTTTGTGCCATTAATGAAGATATGGACAGGCTGGATCGATGGGCAGAGG